TAAATGGACCGGCCCGGCCCGACACGAAAACGTTAAAAGCACGAGTTTAAATGGGATGGGCCGGCACGGCACGGCCCGTTTGACACCTCTAATCGCAGGCGCGAAAGCGCGTGCGGATAGGCTAGTTAACTTAATAAATGGTAATTATTATTTTTAATTTTTCAATTTAATCAAATATTTAAATACTAATTATTCACTAATTAAATAGTAATTAAAACATAACTACTAAATAACGTAATTAAAAAAGAGAAATCAAGATTATGCTATTTCAAGGATATAGCCGCGCGGCTATACTTTTAAAATATTCTATTTACAGAATACAGCCGAACGGCTATACTATTTAAATACCCTACTTAAATCGTATAGCCGTACGGCTATACCTCTAATAATTCTATTTATAGCGTATAGTCGATCGGCTTTACTTCTAAAATAGTCTATTTATAGAGTACAGCCGTTCGGCTAGACTATTTAAACAGAAATATAACGCCGCGCGGCTGTACTTTTAAAATATCCTTTTTAAAGTTTTCTCGCGCGGCTATACTATTTAAATATTAAAATATATTCAAGGGGTATAGCCGCCAGGCTATATTATTTAAACATTATACTATACTCAAATAGTATAGGCGCTCCGCTATGCTATTTAAATATTCTAATATATTCAATAAGTATAGCCGCGCGGCTATACTATTTAAGTATTCTAATTTATTTAAGGAGAATATCCGCGCAGCTATACTACTTAAATATTTTGAATGTATATATAAAGTCGTTTCCACCCGACAAGACCACAAAATTTTGGGGCATTTTTTACTGTTCAAAAGTACAATATACCACACCAAACACATATAGATTAGGCTAATTGGTGGCCCGTTTCTATAGATTAGATTAATTTAAAGTGATTTACCCTATTGCTTTTATAAAAAAAGTTCTCTCCAGTCGTATTTACGAACAAAATGTTGTAGCCAAATGCTGATGAACAAAAACATATATGTAATAATGTCAACTACCTTTTTATATTCCAACGTCTATGACAATGAGTTCCTTGGTTTCATTAAATCTGGGAAAACTGTGTTTTTGAACAGCTGACCTTCCAGCAGTTTGTTTGCAATGAGACGAAAGATGAACTTGTTCCTGACTTTTTTCTTTTTAGCTAGCTTGCTGATATTTCTAGGGAAATGCTGGAAGTCGAGTGTTTGTCTGTTTTGAATCTGCCAATGTACTTCACCTAGGTCAGTTGTTTTAAGTTGATTGAATTCTTGTTTTTAATTTGCAGGTCCCTGGATGTTATCAACCAATCATGGAGTCCAATGTTTGGTGGTAACTGTATAAACTTGCACAAACAAAATGCTTTCTTGTGTTTTAAATGTTGTAAACATTTTACAAACAAAATGCCTTCTTCTTGTGTTTAAATTGTTCTCATACTCACACATGCTGGCAAACTTTTACAATCATTTCAAAGTTTGCATTCATGTCTTAGAAACATGCTGGTGGCAAACTGCCTTTGATCTTCTGTTGGGGATTTCGAAGCGTACTGATCTCAATAATGTACAAGTAAACTTCATGTACTCCTTATATCCAGAAATTGAAAGGTTAGATCTGCTACTTTCCTTGCAGATCCCATTATCTTGTTTTGGGGTGGTGGTTCATGAGAGGTTTGCTCGAGGAAAATGTTCAAATCCCAGTACTATATATTACAACCAATAGATGAATTTTTTTAAAAGAAAAATTACAAGTATTGAATGGATTTGGAATGATGTCTTAACTTTATTTGATGCAGGATTTAATAATAGAGTACTGTGGACGTTATGCAAAGAAGGAGAAGATTACCGATAGTACTCAGTTAGAAGAGAGGACTGAGGAAATGAGTGATGAGGATATCAGAGATGGACAGAGACTGCTTCAAGTGCTAATGAAATTGCTAGACATGAAGATCTATGAAGGATTTTTTCCCCGTCTGCTTAAAAAAGTTCATGACATTGGTGGTTGTCCAATTTCTTGTACAATCATGAAAAGATAATTAGAGACTAGATATATGATGATAACATGCATCTCTCCAGAATATGCTCAGGTAAATTGGATCATAGCAAAACAAACAATGCAATGAATTTAAGCTTCCTCTCTATTTTTAAGTAAAGATCTGCAAGTATTTGTAATTTATGCAGCCAATTTAACAAGGTTGGTGTTTTATATATTTATACAAGCGATATTGAGGGAGGGGGATTAGAAGACATGACGAGATGCTTGCGAATGATTTTAATAATGCATCAATTGGCATTTAGCAAGAGCGTTGTCTATTTAGATTTGGGCCGAACGAGATGCTTGCGAATCTGTTTCAGAAATATCGACTTCAGCTTGAGCTCATCTTTGTCTTATGCTTTTAGTTTTGTGAACTCCAATATTCCCTCAAGCCAAGGTTGCAGTCACTACGATGGACCTGTTGATAGGCGATAGGTAGATTAAGAAATATGCATGAAAGCTAAGGAAGACTTATTAAAGAACAATTCTTAATCATTGTTAGTTAAACAAGTGCAGCACTGTCGGACCATGACTGCTTTTGCATTGTATTCGTGCAGTTGTATTACAATTTACATGGCATCCCCTGTTAATGGGTCAAAGATTGATGACATCTTGTGAGCCATTGGATCATAAAGTCTAGGTGACAAGATCAACTTCACCACTGTTAATAAATTAGGATTATGATAATCCAAAATCATTGTTAGTGTATACATTGTCACTGTAAACCTAACCTCGTCAAAAAGGACTTGACAGAACATTTCCAACTTTTTTTGGCCTGCCGGCGCCATATTTGAAATATTAGTTATCCTAACCAATGGCTTTATATGCATACTCTGTAGCATCAAGGTAAACAATAAAAATCCAAATGCTCATTGTAGAGCCGGCAACCACATTAGCATTGAGATTTTCTTCTTCCACAATCCCATATATGCCATACGGTGAAAACCCTCTTTGCATGAAGGGTTAGATCAATGAAAATGAACAAAATCTCCATCTGGGTGAGCTTCATTTCAATCTCTCTCTTCCTCCACAGTTCAACTTCTGTGGAGGATGAGGTTAAGAATTCACTTATCATCTTCCTTGCTAAGGTTTCTAACAATGGTGTTCAACCTGGCCTCACTTGGGGTTGGAACACTTCCTCTGATCCTTGCAAGGACCAGTGGCAGAATGTAATTTGTGATTCTCAAAACGTTTCTGTCACAAAGCTGTTTCTAAATGGCAAAAACCTCACCGGCACGCTTGATGCTGCTTCACTCTGCAACGTGAGATCTCTTGCCGCCAATCTTACCATCCTTGCCCTTGATGACAACGACATTGGTGGACAAATTTCAGCTGAGATTGCAAACTGTGATCAGCTCACTCGCTTGACTGTAAGCAGCAACCAGCTTTCAGGAAACCTTCCTGAGTCGCTTGCTGCGTTGAATAACCTGAAAAGGCTTGACATCTCCAACAACAAGTTCTCTGGTGAGTTACCAAAGTTGTCTCGGATTTCAGGTCTCACAGCCTTCCTTGCTCAAGATAATCAGCTTACCGGGCAGATACCAAATTTCGACTTCTCCAACTTTGACACATTCAATGTCTCCAACAATAACTTCCAAGGTCAAATTCCGAACGTGAATGGCTTTCTTACTGCAAGCAGCTTCCTTGGTAATCCTGGATTATGTGGAGATCCATTGCCAAACAAGTGTTCATCTTCCTCCACGACAGCGAATGAGAACTCGAACACAAAAAAGGGTGTCTCAAAAAATCAAATGTTTATATACATGGGGTATGGTGTGTTGGCCTTAGTTTGTCTTGTGTTAGTAGTTCTCAGGATATGTAGGAAAAAGAAAAGCAAAGATCAGGTTGATGCAGTGAACAAAGTAGCAGCAGTTGATGAAAGCGCCAGCAAACTCAGTGCTGCGTCAAGTGAGTACAAAGGAGGTTTGAGTAAGTCACAATATTCGGTCACGTTTTCAGCTGATGAGAGTGCAGATATGGTTTCCTCCTCGCTCATAGTCCTTACAAGCCCTGTGGTCAATGGGTTGAAATTTGAGGACTTGCTCAAAGCCCCTGCTGAGTTGCTTGGAAGAGGCAAGTATGGTAGCCTCTACAAGGTCATCTTTGAGAATGGGATGGTCCTGGTTGTGAAAAGGATTAAAGATTGGGCACTTTCAAGCAACGATTTTAAGCAGAGGATGGAGAGGTTGTACCAAGCAAAGCATCCTAATGTGTTGCCGGCCCTTGCCTTTTACTGTTCCAAACAAGAGAAGCTTCTGGTCTATGAATATCAGCAGAACGGGAGCCTATTCAGGCTCATCCACGGTAAACATTTTGCACTTTCCCAAATAGTTGCTGATGATACCTTAAGTGAACCCCTAATTAATATCGATAATACTATAGTCACACCCAAAAAAAAATTCCTAATGCTGTGGCAATGAATTTGTGATTAGTTATTACGAAATGATGTGATATGTGACATGTGACATGACAATATTTTACTTGTTAGAAACAAATAAGATTCTTGGATTCTAATTAACGTTGTATACTGTATGATTCAGGAAGCCATAGGGGCCAAGCATTTGACTGGACCAGCAGGCTTTCAGCTGCTGCTAGCATTGCAGAAGCATTAGCTTTCATGCATCAGGAACTTCGAGCGGAAGGGATTGCTCATGGAAACTTAAAATCTTCCAACATCTTGCTGAACAAGAACATGGAGCCCTGCATAAGCGAATATGGCCTCATGGAAATCAACGATCAAGACAACTTCATGCCGGGCAAGGCTTCCGGGGCCAAGGCCTCCAGCACCTTTAAGGGAGACGTTTATGGGTTTGGAGTGATCCTTCTTGAGCTCCTTACAGGCAAACTTGTGCAGCATAATGGGGTTGATTTGACAGTTTGGGTTCACTCCGTGGTTCGAGAGGAATGGACTGCAGAAGTGTTTGACAAGTCCTTAATGTCAGAATATGCAAGCGAGGAGATGATGGTGAACTTGCTTCAGGTAGCTATAAAGTGTGTGAACCGTTCTGCAGAGGCTAGGCCGAGCATGAACCAAGTTGCCCTAATGATCAGCGCCATAAGAGAGGAAGAAGAGAGATCCACAGTCTATGATCCGCAGTCTAGGAGCCTACTTTGATTTGGAAAATATATTTTTTTCCAAATCAAAGTTGGATTTCTGTATTTCCATGTAGCAGTAAATCCATAATAGCATATCATTTTAGAAAGAAAAAAAAAATTGTATTTTCAACTAATAAGATCATGACAGAGCAGTAACGATTCAACCACTTTCTCATGTCTTGAGTAAGATCTGAGTTTATTATTATTAACATGTCTTCTTTTGTTCTGATATTGTACCCATTACTTCTCTTTCTCTGAGTTAAATCTTTTTGGAATGATGAAAGTGATGAAGGTAAAACTTTCTCACTTGCCATTTGAAGTAGTGCTATGAGCTAGTAACAGACAAAATCATGAATTTGAACAGAAATTTGGTAGTGCACCAATACCCTTTTCACAAGAAAACGCTTCCAGTTATAGTCAAGCAAGAAATGATGAAGGTGAAAACCAAAATGGACATTTTCTCCATTCTGAAAGAGCGGACCTAACAAGCACTGATTCTTAAACCTACTAGACATAGGATGTCGACTCAAAATGAGAAGTCAACGGCTTTGGTCCACACATTATGCCCCAAAAGTTGGGCCATCCAAGCTTAATGCTCATCATGTGAAGATACTCATTCTTGAAGATCACGAAATTCATTCTATGTTAATCTGTACCTATTCTCTAATGGCATATTAGCAGATTAGCTAACAGTTGGCAAAAGCTTTTTTTCGGTGGACATTTTTAATTGAGAGGGGCAATAACATACTAAACTCACACATACTACATAGATGTTAAAATTCGAACCCCGAATACGTTTCCTGAAGAAACAATTGCTCTAAATCTTCGCGTGATAAAAACATTTTAAAATCATTACACTATGCATTATTTGCCACCTGCCCTGTAGTTGGTAAAAACAGGAAATCAAACTCGTAATCAAAATGTCACCACTGATAAGGACTCCACTGGCAAGGATTTGGCTAGTTAGATGAGAAATTATTATCCTGTACAGTAGCAGGTAGTTTGCGTGGCAAATTAAACATCATCAAATGGCAATTATTTATGTTTAGCAAACTAAACAGAAATGAGGATGGTTAGGGAGAGAGAGAGACATCTGGCCAAACTAGCCTTTAATAGAATATATGGAATTATATGTCTCACTCACCTAACTACAGCAAACACTCTTCCTTTGTCATTTTTGTGATCAGTTTTCCAACTAAAATGTGATTGTTATCCAAAATCCTCACCTAATTGCCTTTAAACTAAAGATAAAGTGTTCATATTTTCATACTTTAAAGGCACACCCCATTGCAAGTCACCCAATGGTATTGTGGTTTGGAGCAATTACTCCTTCAGAAAAAGTCTTAGGTTCGAGTCATAGCATCCGTGTAGTGTGTGTGAATTTAGTATGTTATAGCCTCTCTCAATATAAAATGTCTTTAAAAAAAAGGCACACTCCATTTAAACCCCCCTTGCACGTTACATCTTTAACCTAAATGCTCAATAATTGTAACATATTAGTTGAATTTAAATATAGGTACAACAAAAAGTTGAATAATTGCACAACTATAATCAACCAAATTCTTTGTTACCCCATGTTCTTCAAATTTTTAAATTTTCCCTCTTTTTAGGTAATTGATTGTGTAAGAAATTTAAGTTGATAATTTACATCATAATACCGAAAAGTCGGACCCAAAGTTTACACATCATAGCTGCTTACCTCTTGCCTAAAACTACTTGGATGTAAACCCTAGAAGAAGAAAAAAAATTGTGGATATAAATATGAGATTCTTTATACAAATTGAGTAAAAAACATTAGATTGGGTGTCACATCTCTAACACTACCAAAATTTTGTCATTATTAATTTAATTTAACAAAACTCAGCCACTTGGGTGTGCCCTAGAAAAGAACTCAGCCACCTGGTTCGTTATCCTACACCCTAATCCACTGGAATGACTTTTGAAATCAGGACAGGCCCACCTCGAAGCCCATGTTTTGAGGGTTAGCACTTTGTCGCTTGCGGTTGACCATAACACCCTCACGCGCTCCCACGAGCGCGTGGAGCGATATTTTAGTTCCTCTTTTTGGCACTTTAGGAACTCTCGCCACTGTCACCCTTCTGGCCTCTCTGGTTCAATCAAGAACTTAGAGAGAGAAAGTGACACTTTGAGAGAGAGAAAAGAGAAAGAGAAAGGAACCCAAGCTCACTTTCCTCTTCTCTTTCGCTATATAATTTTAAGTGCCTCAAAAAGCCTGAGTCTTTAGGGTTCTCTGTTGCAAAACACAGCAAGAGCATCATCAAGTTCCAGAGTTTTTGAAAATACATGAATGGCGGACTTCCTGGAATCAAGTTAGGTATGCTCCATTTTTTTTCATTACACATATTCTATTGTCAGCTTCTCTCGCATAATCAGTCAATTTGATATGGAAATTGAATTCATACTTACAAAAGAAGTTGAGTAAATTTTGGCACCATTTGGGCAGTTACTGCTACTGCCATGTTCTAAAGTTGTTGGCGGCATGAAACTCTGGTGATGATGGAAGAAAAAGTTATTGACTTTAGCTTCGCTTGCTTGCAAAATAAGTTGGTTTTGTGTTTGATCTCTGAGTAGAGAAGAGCATGGTCTTTGGTTGCAACGATATATATGATCTGTCGAATGTCAGAAGGAAAAGATCTTAGATGGTTTTCAGGCCACACCCATTTGAAGATGTCTTGGGTTCAGCATCAAATCCAGCTGAAAGATGGTTATTTGAGCTACCCCCCTCCTTTCTCTCTTCCCTCTACGCCCCCATATGTTGCTAATTTTCATAGAGATTCGAATCCACCAGCATCATCTGGTACAAAAATAAGTCCTGCTGTTCTTTTTATAATAGTAATTCTGGCTGTACTGTTCTTCATCTCTGGTTTGCTGCACCTGCTCGTTAGATTTCTTACAAAGCACCCATCTTCCTCAGCTTCTTCTCCTCAGTCGAATAGGTACCCAGAACTTTCTACTTCTGATGCTCTTCAGAGACAGCTGCAGCAACTCTTCCACCTTCATGATTCTGGTCTAGATCAAGCTTTTATTGATGCTCTTCCTGTTTTCCAATATAGAGACATAGTGGGTTTGAAAGAGCCGTTTGATTGTTCTGTCTGTCTTTGTGAATTTTCTGAAAAGGACAAGCTCAGATTGCTTCCTACGTGTAGCCATGCTTTCCATATCAACTGTATAGATACTTGGCTACTGTCAAATTCAACATGTCCTCTTTGCAGGGGTACCCTCTTCAATCCAGATTATTCGGTTCAAAACCCAATTTATGATTTTGATGAGTATAGAGAAGAAGAAGGGTATCCTGGTAATGGAGAAAACGGGTTCACTACTAGGCAAAAGACCATGGACATTGAGGAAATTGTTGTTGAAAATGGGATTTTGCCTGTGAGACTTGGCAAATTTAGAAAGGTAGATGTTGAGGTAGGAGGGGAGACTGGAGTAGGAGAGACTAGTAGCAGTAATTTGGATGCAAGAAGATGTTTTTCAATGGGTTCATATCAGTATGTGCTTGGTGATTCAGACCTTCAGGTTCCCTTATCGAATGATCAACCAGACCGCAATATAAAGCTAACAAGAGGGATAGAACACGATGGTAATCCTTCAATTGATAGTGATGTGGAGGGAAAGAAGATTAGTAGTGTGACTAAGGGTGAAAGCTATTCTGTTTCCAAGATCTGGCTCTGGTCAAAGAAGGGCAAGTTTTCGAGTTCTGTTGATACACAGATGGGTATGCCTTCCTCTCTTAATACAGACTTGCCATGGATGGGAAGAATGCGAGCAGAATAAGAGGTATTTTATTTATTGTTTCCTTGGTTGCTTAATAGTCCAATGATCAAAGCTTGTTACACCTCAGTCTAGTTTTTCCTTCTCAAAATTTTTTGTAATGCTAATTATGTATCTGCGATGATTGATTGTGTGCCATATCGCGCCCTTTGAAACCAAACCAGGATACAATGTCTTGTGAAGAAGGCGTTTTCTAATTTTAGGGAATGACTATATTGGCTTTCTGTTGGTGAACACCATCTGAGATATGGGTTATGTCATTCTTGTTGTTGGGACAAAGTTATGAACACTTGTGTGCTACAAAAAGAAAAAAAAATATTCATCTGATCACAGGGATTGCTTTAGCTTTTTTTTTTATTTAACCTCAAGTTTACCAAAGTTATCTTGGCTGGAAAAATGGAAATGCTGTTGTAGTCCATGGAAATGAGTCTAAACTAAAATGCTTGCAGCTAGAAGGTTTCTCTCCTCTTACAAGTTTTGACCTTTGCCCTGAATTGACAAATTTGTGGTTGTGCATTTGCTTTTTTTTCTTGCCTTTTGATGCATTGATCGGGAAATCTTATCCCTCGTTTTTCAGAGAATAATGTTAATGCAATCTTAACATACTAGACATAATTTACCGGTAGGGAAGTTGGACAGGATTGCAGTGGTGGTGGGATCCATGAAAGCTCTGTACTCACAGAATCTTTTCCTGAAATGAGAAACTTTTTATTCAAATGTTGGCTGTAGTGGGGTCACTTTTTGCCATTCCCATGTGGCCATGTTGAAATCAATCCCCTCATAATTTTCACAAATTGAGCAGAGGTTTTCCACATTGTATCCCTTGTGTTAATTTCAGTTTCAATTCAAATAGGGTAAGATTTATATCAGATGTGAAAATTTCTAGAAATGAAATGCTAAAATATTGATAAAAATCTTTTTCTTTTTTTTAATGAAAAACTTCAAACTTGTACCAAGAAACAGATTTGAATGGCGTTAGTTTATTTTTTTGTTTATTTTGAGATTGCATTCGAATATGTAGATATTGAATTCAATTCATGGTGAATCTGAATGATGGTGTTTGTTAGGGCCCCCCCACCCCCACACCCCCACCACAATAGTGTTTTGTTT